TTTTTAATACTTAGTTACTCAAGGATGGGGATCAAATCTTCTCGACCATTGATGGAAAATACTCTGGTTGGTCGTAGTCTTCACTAATAAATTAACATCTCATTAATTTTTATAAAAACTCTATGTTTATTTTGTTTTTTTATCTTGTATGTGGAACATGACGGCAAGGATAAGATTACTCTTCACCATTTTTTTTTGAAAAAAATTGACAATTCATTTTATTTTTTTTATATTTGTTTATGTATTTCTTTCTCTTAATTGTCAAATATGACGAGGACAAGGTGGTAGGGAACTAAGTATTTTCATATTTTTTTTAGAAAATACTTGGTTGAGCAAGTTTCCCAACGACCATTAAATATCTTATAATTAACAAAAATGAAAAGTATTTCTTGAAAAAATAATGAGTTGTCAAAAATTTAATGGTGATAAGGAGTAAATTGCTCGTTACGGATAGGGAAGTAAGTGTTTTTTTAAGTTACACATAAGTCTCCGTTCCATTTTGTTCTATGAACTCATAAAATATTTATTTTAATCATTTTAGCCTCTAAATTTAATGCTTATTGAAAAATACCTGCTTGCATATTATTGAGCTACTTTTTTATGTGGTTCTACTTCTTTTTTATGTGACATATTTTTATTGGTTCTAAAATTTTAGCTTGTTCTAGGTATATAAAAATGCAATAGAAATGAACCCGTTAAAATAGGAAAATATTTGGCTCCTCACTCGTCGGTTAGGATCGATTTTATTCGAATAACCATTAAATGTTTGACAACTCATTATTTTTTTAAAAAATAGTCTCCCACTTTGCATTTAAAAAATTTAAAAAGCGTCGGGATAAGATTGGTCCCCACAAGTGAGGTGCCAAATATTTAGGGAAGTATTTCCATGTCTACTTTAGTTTAATTGCATTCAGCCCGTTTGTGGTTGGGATACAAACTCATATTAAATGCATTTAGTATACATTCAAAATCATGTTCTTTTATTTAATATCTAAAATCCCGTTATCAATTTGTTAAAGAAAAAAATAAAGATAAATAAAAATATCTTTTTTTAAATCAGGACTAATTTATAAATTTTGAAAGTTAGGAACTAAAATGGAATAAACTTAATTTAGACACTAAAAATGAATACTTTTAAAATTTTAGAAATGAAAATAGAATAATCTGTAAAATTAAGACCAAAATAAAATCGGAACACTTTTTTCTTTTTAACATTTCTTCAATGTTTGATGAACCATGGAGTTACTTTTTCATTATGAAAAAGGAAAAGAAAAAGTTTGAAGTGGTTGGTTGTTCCTTTTTTAAAGATAACTTTATGCTTTTTAGAACAAAGTTTAGTTCAAACAAGTTTTGGTTAATGTCCTTTTAAAGTTAATTTCCAAAATTAAGGGCATTTAAATGATGACTTAAAGTATGTAACAACATTAATGTTTACGAACTACTCAAAAATAATTTTATTTTAATTGCTAGCTGTTTTGATTAAATAGACAACTATTTTTTTTCTTCTAATATTTTTCTGTCTATGAATAAGACTTAGCTGTATATAAGTAAATAAGTATGTTCCTTCTCATCACCGTTAAAAAATTGATAGCTAATTATTTTATTTTCTCTTTTCTTCTATATGCATTAATGTCTCAAATAAATTTACTTTTACCTTTATAAAGTAGTGATTAATTTTTAGCAGTGATTGGATCACTATTGTAGTTTCTGAAAAAGTTGCTTTGGGTGATGGTTTTTGTGTAATGTTGATCTTTCTGGGGGGTTTCCTGCAGGTACGTGTATCTTGGGCTGTTTGACAGTGAGATAGAGGCTGCAAGGTCAGAAAAGACAATTTATATATATTTTAAGCTCAATAAATCAGTGTCTCATTTCCCATGGAAAATTTTGTGTCATAAGATAACATGTTACTTTTGGTGTAATTCAGAGCATATGATAAGGCTGCTATAAAATACAATGGAAGGGAAGCTGTTACCAACTTTGATCAGAGTTCCTATGAGGGAGAGATTTCTATTGAATCTGAAAACCAAGGTTCCTCCCTCAACTACCTCATTTTTCCATGCCAACTTTTTATTTTTTTCAGAAACGGACTCTTTTTACTTTTTTTTTAATCATCATATTTTCTAAATTAACTGTTCATATAATATAATAGTTAACTGTTTCGTAAATATAAGATTTAAATCTCATTGCGATCCTTGTATCTATTTTTGGTTCATCAGGGTCCCAATTGTTTTGAATTTCTAAAAACGTGACAAATTTCAACCCAGCACTGTACTCGATAAATTTGTTAAAATTACTGTTATATGTGTTAAAAGTTTCTACCTGATATAGAATTTGTGTTAAAGATTTTGCAAATAAGGACCAAAATATTCACAAGAAGACCAAAGCCAGAGACTAAAATAAAGGTTTTGAAAATACACGAGTCGAACTAGACAAAAACTAAAGGTATAATATAAATTTAAAAAAGAAACATTCTTTCTCCAAAACTGATATGTTTGTGATTTTGTTTGTTTTTGATACAAAAGACATGGGTGATATTGACTTGAACTTGGGCATTGCCCCACCTTGTTCATCTGAAGACCAAAAGGACAACCTTAATGGCTGTGCTCCAAATTTCATTGGATTCAAAAACTCAGATTCTGAGAGGAGATGTGGTGTGATGGTGAGGCCATTTTCTGGCACTTTTAATTCTTATTTCTGATTGATTAAGATTAATATTTCAATGTGTCTTTTAGAAGTTTATTTATGTTTTTTGTTTTCATCCATGGCTGATTTGAATTATTGGAGCTGTTCTTCCTGTGTTGCAGCTTGGAAACCATGCTTCTGTGGCTGTGAGACCACACCCTCCTTGTTTGAGTTGTGCCAATTTCTTTCCTACCTACCAGGTATATATTTCAAGCTTTAACTCTCATTATTGAAACTGATTATTGATGATGATTTTGCTTTTAATTTCATACTTCTTAAAAAATAAGATGATTTAGGCAAAAAAAAGTTTTCAAATGTGGGGAGTATTTCAAAAGCAGAAAATGGTCATACTTCTTAAAATTGCTCTCTTTCTTTTGAGAACTGCCTATAGTTAGAATAATTGAAATTGCTTTTCTTTCTAAAACCATGGACTTATAATAAGTAGTAATTCTAATCAAAAAAGCCCTATTTTTGTTTTTTTCAGTCCCATCATTTTTTTCCTATTGTTTTATTATTCGGCATGAATAGACTAAGTGAAAAAGGTTTACATTTTCATATATATATATATATATAACCTTTTCTTAGTAATCAATTGAAAGAGTGTAGTTCATATATATTATAAACTTCTGTTACGACTCTCGTCTTTTCCGACATACACAAAATATTAGATAACTCTTTTTAAAAATATTGAAAAGGATTGAAGGAATGTTGTTACAATGGGAAGATTGTGAGAATTAAAAGGCAAGATTATGTTGTGGTTGTTGTATCTCAGGAAAGAGCAATGGAGAAGAGAATGGAAATTGAATCCTTACCGAACTGGGGATGGCAGATTCCGAGCCCCTACGGCGGAGCAACTTCAGTGCATTTCTTCTCCACTGCAGCATCATCAGGATTCCCTTCTTCTTCTTCTTCTGCCGTTCTTCCGCAGCCATCGTCGGCCCGGCATCTTCTTCCAGCATCGACGTTCTTCTGCCACCCATTACCAACAGTAACACCGTAGCGCTCTCGTAATTTCTAGTACTATAGCGGTACCTGATCCAACGCCAAATTTAGAACAGTAGTAGTACTTTGTCATGTTCATCATCAAACTGTTGTTTTTCTTTTCTCAAACTTTTCCCCTGTACTGTAAATTGAGAAAGGAAAAAAAAGGAAAAAAAAAAATAGTGTCGGTTGGATTTTTTATGTAATTTGAATTATGAAGTATTCGGAGAAGTGTTGGGTCAAATTTTGTAGTCAATTTCATGGGTTTCAAGAACAAGTACATTAGTTATTCAGACACTTTAATTTGCTTAACTTTTAAATCATTACTTTTTCAGTCTCCTCTCAAAGGATTATAAGTATCCAAACGAGAAAGTTTCTAATATTATCATCAAGTATTGAAGTCTTTGTATACCTACTCTCTATCATATAACAAATCATACAAAATTAAAATTGTTATTGTTGGAAGCCATTTATCTATTGTCACGTGTGTCAGAATCTCGACACTCGGTGTTTTGGATCCGAGTTACTGCATATTCTACATATCTTGACCGACCTATGATAGGTTTGAGCTGAGGTTAAAGAGTAATCGATGGAGCATTGACGACTGATATATTTTTTGATAAAACAATTCGGTACTAGGTTGTCGTAGGTCTTATCGGGATCTCACCTCTCTAGATAGAGTGTCCCACCTCTCATATAAGGTATGCGAAATATATTTTCTCTCGAATATAGATCGGACTGTGTACTAACTAGTTGGAGTGCTAACTACGTTTTGCAGGCCTTTGAGTACTTCAGTTCAATCCGCCCAAGCTTCGCAGATTCTAACTTGATATTTTTATGATCGAACATTTATCTTTCATATAATTAATGGGCTAAATTACAAAAAAAAAAAGAAAAAAAGAATACACCTAACATTTTGAACACACATTCATTAACATTTTGAACTAAAAATTGATGTTGTAGAATGTGGAATGATTTTACCGTTAACATCTCAATTTGTCCTAAAAGTTTTCCTCCTTCATTGTCGAGAGAGTTTGCACTTCTCTATTGTCTAGTCAATTTTATTCTAATCTTCTTTTATATTTCTCTTTTTTCAGAGTTTGCACTGCTTCGTTGCCTAATCAAGTGCTCTGCCATCGAACTTTTCGTCCAAAACATTAACCTGTCTTTTTCTCTTTTTTTTCAAGGGTGTAATTTAGCCTTATTAATGAGTGAAATCCAGTTGAGTATCAGAATGATTGTCCAAAATTTGGTTTGGTGAAATAGGGTTTGAAATAGAGGGGAGTGATGAGACAAGATTTGTCATGTAGTAAGAAGTGGTAATTTGGGGAATGCTTGGATTTTTTTTTTCTTTTTTAAATCTGTATTATTGTACACCTGCACCAAAAGCGACAACATTAAAAAAATAATTAAAAAAATTTAAAAAAAGTGTTATGTGTTGTTTCAGACACTGTGATGAAAGCTTTCACTTCTTACTGGACACTCCCTTTTTTTTAAGCACTCTCTCTGTCTTCTCTTTCTCTTTTTATTTACCAACTTGCCTATGCCTGCACCTCCCTACTAACCTACTCCTCCTCAAATTTCCACCTATTTTCTATCTTATTATTATTAGTATTCTTTTAATTTTCACTCTCAAATTTTGTGTCAATCATAATTTAAATCATTCAACCTGACAGGAAGGAATATGGTTTTAAATATCTATTGACATGTTAACATTTCCATCCACATATCCATGTTTTTATAGGTTCGACATTGATATGAGGGGTAAATCGACATTTCCATCATATTACAAGAAAATCGACAAAATATGAAAAATATCAACAAAATATCACTTATATATACATAATATTAATATTAATTCTTTTTAACTAATTTAGAAATAGGAAAATGTTTATTTGTTAATTTTAATATTTTTTACTATTTTCTAATTTTTCTAACTTTTTTAGAAATATCCATCGACATCGATATTTTAGTGATATTTCCATGAAATTGAAACCTTGAAATTTTCATCCACATCAATATTTAAAACTTTGAAAATGAAGTATATATTTTAGATTTGTTTTGTCAAGGGAGAAAATATATAAAGAACGGTCGAATTTTTAGCGACCAACGGAGAAATGATTGTTGTATTGCTGATGGGTCAATTTTGTTCTAAAAGTTTGCAATTAAGTGAACCAAACTCGATCTTCTGAGTATGCTTTTTTTCTTGAAGATTGAGATTACTGTTTGTCCTTTTGATTTAATTAATTAGGGGTCTTCCTTATTTCCACCAACTTTTGTGGGGAAAAGAAAAGCTTCATCTTTCATGCCATGGCTTCCTCCATTGGGCACTTCACTTTACTCTTTCTCTCTGTACTCTCTGAAAAACTCCTGAATAATGGGAATTTCTCCATCTTTGTGTCTGAGCTTCTGCCATGGATTGGCCTTCTTTGTTTTGAGAGAGAGAGAGAAAAAAATGGCAAAGCAAATGGAATTTAGGGGTGTGTGTGAAGGTTGATTGAAGATCACTGTGCATGAAATAATAAACTAAGTTCAGCCCTAGTTTTGTATTGATTTGATTGTCATTTCCCATTTTTCAAAGTCAAAAAGTGTCATTATTCTCTCCAAACTGCTCTGTTATTTTGCTCTTTTACCAATTACAAATTTTCACCCATGTGTCATTTCTCCTATAATAATTTGCATGAGTATTTAGTAAGTTTGAAGAAGTACTTGTAGAAACTGAAATTTATGTATGTTACAAAATTTACCAAGAATCAATCCAGCAATCAATTTGGATGACCGTGTAGTCTACGTTACGTTGGATTGTGTAGTCTATGATACCGTAGGAGAGTATGTACAAGTTTTCAGAGTTAATATACTCTATCTTACATTAACAAAACATAACCATTATGGTATAGAGATGATGAAATAGGTTATCTATCTATCGTGAATATATGAGTCAGCCACATTTTTAACGATTTACCCTCTTGAGAAGCATTTTCCATCTTGTTGTAGCAAGAAATTCAACGTTTGACTCTATATCTCATAGATCAAACAATCGGCCTATTCCAAATTTTAGCGAATCACGCATATATCACTAGTAAGAAACTTTGTCATCAATATGTCTATAGGATTATAAGAAATATCCATGAAATATTGTTCGGTTCTACGTGCACTTCAAAAGTACAAGAGCACTTTGAATATCATAGTTAATCTTAAAGAATCAAATTACATCTTTGAAATTAACCCCCTTACCCATATATATTCCTTAAATGATTCAAAGTAGAGTGCACGATAAGTACATTGATCTCCCAACTAATTAATCATGTTTACATTCCTAATTAGTGACCTAATTCTTGTGTATAAATAGTCAACATGCATGTTGTTAATTAAGAATCATCATTGCTCTGAGAACTCATTTTGCAGCCTCTTAGTGTGGTTTTCCAAGGTTCATGAATCCGCTTATTACACTCATTGACATGAGCAGCATCTGGTCTATTGCATATTCTCTCACAAATCAAGCTGTATAATAAATATTAAAACGTAAATATAATATAAAAAATTAAACTTTTTAATAACAATGAGTAAGAAACGATTACCAAATATATTTCTGTTTCTTTTCTCAGTAAATAATAATAAGAAAAAGAACAAACACAAAACAGTTATCCAAGCAATAATTTTTTTTATTTATTAAAAAAACTAAAAACATAAACTAGAAACGAATGTTACTAAATATGTTATTGAAAATTGCCCCATTTTTAGAACTTTTTTTTCTATTTATTTAGAAGCAATAAGGATCCGTTTGGTAACATTCATGTTTTTTGTTTCTGTTTCTTCACTTTTAATAAAGAAAAATGAATTGCATCACCCCAACATCCATAAATTCAAGTATGATCGAACAATATTTTAATTATGTTTTGGAACAAATAAGAAATGGGAATAAGAAAGAAGAAACATGTTTTGGTTGTTTTCAAAATTTATATACAATCTTGAGAATGTTCCAAACTGATGAGAAACAAAAAAACATACTTAGTCGCAAAATGTTGAGGTTTCTTAAGAAAGTTAAAAACGAAAAACAAGAAACAAAAATATTACTAAACGGGACTTAAATATTTTTTATGTTTATAAAATAAAAAAATAAGAAATTACAATAGAAAAGTGTTTCATAATCCAAGACTTAATTATTAATTTGGTTTGGTGTGATTGTACAATCTGCAAATAAGTAGAGGGTGGGAAATGGGAAGTGACAGTGTCGGCTTCTAATTTGGCCTTTTGACTCTGTCTTTTCACACATAAGAAATCAGTGTCTTTTTGGAGACTCTCGCACCACATCACATAAGATAAGAATAATCTCAATACTAAATTAGGGCTCTTCCAAATTATATCATATTTAAGTATTGAATTTAATATTTGGTCTCCAAATTATATTTTCATTATTTCTGAATTTTAAAATCTTTATTTAAGTCACGGCCAATTTTGATCTTTATTATATTATTTTATCACCTAATATCTACCTACTTAATATTTGTCTTTGGTTTGATATGTTAAATCACGACTTATCCTAACAGTTTAGGTCATGAGTGATTTAACATAATACTAGAATAGGAATTCCTGCGTTCGAACCCTTCTAATATCATTTACTTTCAATTTTAACCCATCAGTTTTATTTTTAGGTTGGATTGATAATTTGATCCTATTAACGTTTTACTATAGCAATTAGATTTGCGTACCTGCATAAGAAGTGTAACATAGTATTTATGGATGTTTGGAGTGATCCTCACTCGTTAGCCACTTAGCATGTCATGTGAATCCCGAAGTAAATTCAGCATTAATGGTTGACTAGTGGGGAGTACTTACAGAACAGTTTGGAACAGTTTTAATTTATTACATCGGACTTTAACTTGTTATTGGTCAACTACTAAGGGGAGATCTACATGTCGGAGTCTATTGTGACAAGGTATAATACTTCGTCACGCTCTAATTTACCTTCTATCACGTACACAGCAAAGGTAATGACCAAATGAACATTTTAAAACTCTAGAGACCAAAATAGAACAAAAATTGAATCTAAACCTAAAATTTTGTTAATTCACTAGTATCCAAAACGGGTATAGGGTCAGACGATTTACCCATAAGATTAATCAAGTCGCGAATGAGTCAGCTTCGAGGGCGAGAGGGAATCATAGAAATCAAACCATGGAGTTAGAATCCAACTAAAATGGAAAACTAAATTGGGTATCATATATATTTGGTGGAGAGTAGAGGTAGAAGGCATTTATTCAAGTCTCTCTCTTTCTCCAAAACCCTAGAAACAAAATGCCAAAAACCAAATGGGTTTTTAAGGGATTGTTTGGTTAATAGATTATATCTCACAAGAATGATGGGTCATTATCAGGTGAAGATGAGTGCAGAAACCTGCAATTTTCTTTCATGTTCATACCTGGAAGTACTTTCCACTCTCACTTAAAAGACAAACAAGCCCTCAAATCTACTTCAATTGTTCTTATTTTTTAAAAAGCAAACAAACAAATAGATGCCCTTTTTTATGAGGCCCTAATGGGGAGGGACACCTAACAGAAGCCAACTTCACTTTGTCCTTCAGACTTTTGGATTCATTTGCCCATTTCATGCAACAACAGAAAAAAATACAAAAAAAAAAAATGTTTGGAGATTTTCAGTGAAACTGGTTGCATCTATCTCCATCTCCACTGTCTATTGTCAGTTCCAAACAGAGATTAATTACCATTTTGTACAATTTGGTTTCAGTTTCTATAGATTTTTACAAGTTTTGTTATTGTCTATTTTTATTGGATCTCCATAGATGTATGATATAAGATGACAATTTTACATTCATGACATAGTAGAGGGAAACAAACCATTTATTATGCCAACTTGGGTATATAGGTTGAGGAGAAAGACATTAACTTCTTTTTTTCAAATCATCCCTTCACGTCCCGTTAAGTTGGAGAAATATTTTAATACTAATAAAGTATCGTGTCCTTTCCTACTTCAATATTGGAGGCTCAAATCTTCACACCCTATTATAGGTGAAATTAAGCCATACGAATCAAGACCAGGAATGCATATATGTGGATCAAGCCCTATAGTAGTGCTACACCTTGAATGGACTAGTCAATGACCAAAGACCACGATCGGCCAATCCATGAACGACAAGCCCACGAGTCGATCTAGTCAGTCATGGGCCAACCTTCCCAAGGATGACCAGACCATGGGGTCAACCTACCCATGGGTCGACCATAGTCATGGTCCACTTTAAGCCAATCAGGCCAAGGTCTAGCTAGGCAGCTCAATGATGTCCCAAGTTAGACAATTCCCTCGATCGTCGATTAATCAAGGGGTCAAATTTGAAATCTTGAGATCTAAGGATATTAAAAAAATAAAAATAAAATAGGGAGAGAAGAAACACGGATAAGGTCTACTACAAAATCCCAACTCTATTGCTACGCTTAAACTCATTCTGACTTAAGCATCGAAATGTCTAAACTGGTGTGTAATATACCTCTTTTTTAGGTCCGCTCGAACCTCTTTATTCTAAATAACTTATTAACTCTATTAGCCATTAGTATTTAACCTATTACTCGAGTTTTAAATGAATAAATGATTAATTGAATTTCAAACAGAATTAAGAAAAATATAAATGCTTTCAAAAGTTGTTTGTGTATAGTATCAATAATTGGGCTAGAGGCCCGATGGGCCATACGCTTATGAGTCCAACATCAGAGTAATGACAATTAACTGGTTATGATCATCGCCATTTCTTCTGCCAATTACAACTTTATAACACTCTTGATATTTTAGTTTTAATCATCTTTGAAAATAGCGTCAAAAAAAGCAATGGAAACTCAATAATGAGATATTTTTGGACTATGTGAAAAAAAGAACCAGAAATTAATGTTGAATGTCACATTTCAAAATTGAATGATGTAAAGAAGAAATAATTGTAAGGTAGTGCTGAACAATAGCCCCCATGTATATATGAAGATATATGTCCTCTGAAATGACTAAAAAATCCTTGAAATTCATACATTATTTTTCCATATATTTCACCTGCAATTAAAAACAAAAAAACAAACTTATTTTGCCTTGCAGAAGAGCATCAGGAATTCAATTTGTAACAAATCAAAACTTACCAGTTTGAACAACTATACAGTTCCAAATAAAATATTTGCTTGCCTATCAAGTATTAATCCAAGCCAAAATTATAAAAGAGAAGAAGCCAACCCAATTTGCATAGTACTTCAGGGAAAATGCTGATGGAATTTTCTATCTACTTTTGACTCTTTTTCCATAAAACACCAATCTTTTTCAGCATGTTGATGTTCTTCTTCTTCGGCGAGTCATCATCGAGGTCTTCGGAGTAGAACGGGCCGAGAGGATAGTTGCTGTCAATAGGACCTGAAAGCTCTACAACTTTTCCATCTTTCCCTGGTGAGAGCATTGCAGCAGCTGCCTCAGCTGCCTTCCTCCATTGGTCTAACTGCACCCTTAACCTCCTTAATTCTGCCTCCATTTCTGAGTTTTTGCTTTGGACAGTCTCAGGTTGCTCGGTTTCCAAAATTCCTCTTCTCTTGCTCCAGTTCGGTTCAGTTACACTGCCGAGCTTGTCCAGAGTCTCTTCATTTGCAGATTTTGCTGGTTCTTCCATATCAGTAGTTTCACCGTTGGTTATCTTCCATTCTGTTTCCATTTTCTTAATGTCCACTCGAAGCGTATCGTTTTCCTCGATGATTCCTTGCAACTCTGTCTCTTTATCTAGCAGGCTTGCCTTCAACTCCTCAACATCGGCCTCTAACTTCTTCAGCTGTTCCGAAAGATTGGATTCACTTTCACCTTTGCTTTTCTGATTTGAGTTTGAAGTTTCATCCTCCTTGGCAATGCTCAGAAGTTGAGCTTCCTTATCAATGAGATGCGTCCTCAGTTGCTCGATTTGTGCCTTGGCTTGAGTGAGCTCAGCTTCAAATGCAGCCTCTTTTCGGCGTGATTCTGATTTAATGGATTCCACTTCTTCATAAGAACTTCTGATCTGTAAGGTGCTCCGAAGATATTCATCCTGGTACCTTCTATCAGCAGCATCTAATGCGAGTCTCAATTGATCCATTTCAGATATAACACAATTAAGCTCAGTTTTAAGCTGATTAGTATATTCGTTTTCTCCATCATCCTTGTCATCGTTCTTACTTTCAGAAAGATCCTCCAAATTTTTCTTGGCAATTTCAGCCAAATCATCCTGGTATTTGCAAACAAGACCCTCCAATGATGTAACTTTTTCTTTGGACTCCTCCAACTCCAAGGATAGGGAGCTGAACGCTTTCATGTCTTTGGTTCCCTCCAATCGAAGCATTTCAATCGTTGCATTTGCGGTTTCCAATTCCATTTGTGTTTTCTTGAGATCTTCAAGCGCCTGAGTTTCAGAATCTTCATAATCAGAAAGCTTGGTTTTGAGTTCCTCCACCAGTGAGAGTGTTTCTTTGAGTTCTATTCTGAGGCTCTGAATCTCAGCATGTGCAGACTCCGCATGCCTACTCTGGTTCACCTCCGAACCAGCTATCCTTTCCAGCTGAACCTTAAGCTTCTGATTTTCATTCATGGAAACAGCCAATGCAGCAGAGTCCATTAAATGCTGCTTGTGGAGGGCCTCGAGTTCAGACTGCCATGCTCTATCTCGATCCTGCGAAATTTTACGAAGTTCTTGAATCCGTTCGTCTTCAGATGCAGAAAGCTCAAGCAACTGCTGTCTGGACTCCTCGAGCTCTGAGGACATGGCTTTAAGCTGCTGCTTAGCCTCTTCAGCTTCCTCTTTTGCTCTCCTCTTCCCCGACTCAGAGGAGTTCAGTTGATCCTTCGCCTTTTTCAGTTCATCTTGAAGTTGAGTAATCTGTGATTCCATTGTAGAAACTCGATTTGGGCGTTTTTTCTGAAGTTCAAAGATATACCAACAATGTAAATCATGTAAAATGGAATTGTTCTCAAAGCTTTTAAACAAAATAAACATGGTGGAAACGAGCAACTCTCATATGCAAGTTTGCACAGAAGTTTATATTTCCAAGAACGTTTGGGAGTCTTGGTTGGATTTGAAGGGAATAACAACTTTAATAGACATGAGAACAAACTAATCGAAATGAGCAAAAACAACTTTAAAACCAAAAAAGGAAGTAATCTCAACATACTTTCACTGAACTTTTGTTCCAAAAAACAGAAAACTGTATACAGAAACCTACCAAACAAGACTGACCATTGTTTGGGGGAGAAATACCTCAAGTACTGAACTCTGGACTGATTTCTGAACAACAGTTTTAGGAATTCTTTCCTTTGTCATTTTACTTGGAGGAACTAGAGACGATGAAGCTGAAACAGAATCTGATCCCGGTGCTTTCAGCTGCCGAGTGGGTCGAGGTTTTCTCATCGGTGCTTCCAAATTTCTAAACAAACAGAAAAACAATCAACACTCCCAACCATGGATGACCCGAACAAGAAAAAGAAAAAGGGGAGAGGGGTATGAAAATAAAGCCAATATGAGTCTGAAGATGATCCGAGTAGGGAGCAAAAAGAAGAACAAGAACAAGGAGGAACGGAGATCTTACTTAGGCTTTGAGGCCTGCATATTTTGCAGTTCCTGCTGTAGAATAAAAGCAGGATGAATGTATAGTTGTTCTACTCCAAAGCTCTCTGACCCACAACAGCTGCTTCAGTTCAGAGAATTATTTCATTAAAAATCATACATACAAAACAAAAGCTGAATGCAACAACAAAGTAAAATACTTCACAAAATTTAGATGGTAGCCTTAATCAGAATCAACAGAAAGAAAATGTAACAACCAAATAACAAACAATCCCTTCAAAGAAACTCCAGAGAAACCACCCCCACTTCTACCAACCAAAGCCCACTTTGGTAAGATTTTTAACAAAAAAAATACGTAAACCAAAAGACAAGGTATATGGAAAATGCTCTCTCTCGAATCTCTTTTTTCTCAACTTTCTCCACTTCATTACTTTCACTATGCTCTTTTGGCCCCAAGAAATCATGGCGATATGTAAAAGTTGCACAATCTTTACTCTCTCTCTCTCTCCCTGGGCCAACCCATTTGTTTGTTTATTTGAAAGAGTAAAGAATATCATGGAAATTTTGTACTGAAACACAGAAGATCAGATATTGTTGTCGTGGGACTGCGGCTAACAATCATATGAAAAGTTTATAGCAATAAAGAAAAACAAAAAGAACAGATCTTAGAAAAAGAAAACAAAAAAAAAACACCAAAAACCCAGATGATCACCCAAAATTAAAATTCAGCCCACAAGAAGGAATCACAAGCAATATTTGCCAGACTCGAACATTTCAAAGAACCATATATTTCAACTCAAAAGAAGCAGGAATTCTCAATACATGAAAACTAACACAGAAGCCACAGCAATCTTTACAAATTCCTAGCAGGTTTTTTGATCTTACCAAAAGCTAGTGGCAGCTCACAGCGAGCTAACTGCTCTGGATTGGCTCTTTATTCCTTAAGAAAAGACAACCTGGTTTGCCATTAAGCTCTGACAAACACACACTCTCTGTAGGTCATAGTATCCTGTAGTATAAAAGGCTATTCTGTTGGCCGTGGCCGAAGAACTTTCCTTCAATCCTACTGCGTGGCCATAAAGCTGAAATGTCAGCTCCAATTTCCTCTTTGGGTTCTCAACTACTGCCAAACGGCCAATGGTGGCAGAAAATTTCGCTGAAATGAGCTATGCCCAGTGCCCACCAGGTGTTTGAAACTTTTCCCCAGAGAAAAAAAAAAGAACTTTGTTGTTATCTGCCGCAAGAAGTCACAGACGAAGCTAAAAAGTAACGTGATTCTGCACTTGTTTTTCTTCTTCCTCCCCATCCCGACTCTGTTTTTTGACTTGGAAGGTAAAACTCAGCCATCAGATTTCAACAACTTTGGGCAGCGATTGAAATTTGGGGTTTGATTTGCTTATGGGTCACCGCTCTAAGCAATGGCCTTGACTATCATGTGGGCATCCATGTGATAGAAAAAGACCCGTGATCGCTAGGGTCGCCCATTTGGCCTTCTCCATGAACAGAAGGACCACAGAGCTATTTCCATTTCTATGCATGGAAATGCCTAATTTTCCTTTCTGCACCCTGTATAAGCACAAAATAAATGGATTTTCTTTCACGATTCTTATCAAACATTTCATGTCATGTGGAAACAGCGAACTCCCTCAAGTCAGTCCAATCCTTGATGAGAGTTCATCATTGGACCAGTTGGGTCTTGGTTTTTGATGATTGAGAAAAATAAATTCTTAAAAACAGAATCTGCCCTGTTTCTTTCTTGAGTAATAAAATATTCTTTTGAGTTTCTTTAAAAAATTATGTATTTTATTCTTACCTCACCAAAAACCCATTTGGCTAGGAAGATCAAAAGTCAAATTCAACCTCCAAAATTGGACCTTTCTTTGAGAAAAAAAAAATTACACATTTGTTTTGCACAATTCTAACAATCTTTCCCCGTTGATTAATAATTAGAATCAAAGTCCATGGCGAAAAGAAATGTTTTAGAGGGAGACTTTCATCGTAATATTATTTTTACTCTGTTAAATTGATAGATCGAGTATTCTATATCTGTTAACTGAAGTTTATATTCCTCAGGCACAACCCATCAAGTCTAAAATTTTACTAAAGAGTATAATTCTATAGGATAAAACTTCTTTCATAAGCATAATTTAGGCATATAAATGAATTCTATAGATGGATGGATATTTTATGAGTGATTTTTAGTGGATGATAATAAATACTATCACCTAAAATTGTCATGTGAGCATAGTAATCCAAAAATAGACTCTTTTTTCCTTCCCTCATGTGGCTTTACTTGGAAGGAAGGCAATGAAGTAATAATTAGAGGAGTAGACTTAAAAAAGGGTAAGCTTGCATTGATGGCTCTATCTTGGAACATCAAAGCAAAGCTAAACAAAGCAACTTGACAATATCAGTTGGGGACAAGTCACTTTGTAATTAAACCAAGGACAAGACACGCCATTGATCCTAATTTATTATGAATTTGATTTAAAAAGTAGGAAGACCTTCTTTTTCTTTTTTTAAGCTTTAAATAAAGATTGTTGCGATCCAACATTGCTATGTAACGTTTCTAACAGGAACTTCACCTTCACCTGCACATTAAATTTCTAAATAAAAATAAATGTGATTTCCATTTATGAAACCAATCATAGAAAATGTAATGGTAAGCGCAGCATTAGTTGAAAGTTACGTTCAACTCATTCTTCCAATAAAAGATAAATCGATCAACCGCACCAAAGAAATCATGATTGACCCACCCATATAAATTAGATACAAAATTGCAAATGTTCGGTATAATTTACTATTTTATGTTCATAATCTCTATACAAATCACTAAAAGTAGATCATTATAAAACCTAGGAAGATTTATTTGATTGTAGTGAATGGATTGGCGGTGGTTTTTGGTATAAACACAAGATAAAGTGAGCAAACAGAAAAGGGATCTCATTTGGATCATCTTTAGGACAGTTGGGGCAATGGCAAATGCTTATCCACTTGGCCATCCCTCAATAAATTTAGGACCTTTTGGGGCCCACCCAGAGGGTAAAATGGGGATTTAGATACACAACCATTTTTGGAAAGTTCTCTTACAAGTTTAGACGAAGATTGATCAATAATTTTTCACTCAACTCGACAAGGTTTGGCCACAAATAATCAATGTTCTTTCAAAGTTCGGTAGGTTTGTTTAGTTTACAAGAGAAGATGGAGCTCTACAGAGCTATTTGCGATTAGATTTTTGTTGAATTCATAGTTAAAAAGAAGTGTGACCTTAATCTAATTTGCTGGTAAAGTTTATTGAAACCTTGTACAGTGTCACAAGAATAAGATATTATCCTAAATAATAACAATTTTTTTAGAATACTAGCAGGTGCTTGAAAAACAAAAAATAAATGAGTCAAAGTACTATGTTTTTAGGGACGTGTGTAAATTCATCAAGTTGTTTCATCTAATTATTAATAGAATTCAAAATACATCCTAAACTAGACTCGTGTTGTGGGCAGAGGCTCTTCACTGCCTTTTCCATATCAAGATCATTCCGAAAGAGCATGCAGAGGATTAGAGCACGTGGCTTTGCGAGGGTTTGAATTTTTATTCAAAGAAAAAGATCCCAACTAAACATTTATAGCTCCCGAAACCGAAATCAAATTGTGGTATATTTTGTAAGTATTTGTATAGGTGTCAACAACCAAGATTAGGATATGTTGTATGTTCTTCTGTCTAGAAGGTGTACATATTGTAAATATTTGTAAGATGACCTCCAAATCAACCACCTGACATCTTTTCTTCTAATGTCATCGTACATCCCACCAATTACTCGATTTCAAAGAGCAATAGCAAAATATTCATCCTTGACTAAAGATCATTTCTTGTCAATTTGAACTTGAATCACCCATCTTTACATGAACACAATTCATAACTTATCTGTTAGCCTTAACTTTTATTGATTGTTCTAAATGAAAATAAATCACTAGATGAAGAGAATGGTGAACTAAACCAATTCATATCAGATTAAACAGACTCAAAAAGATTAAACAAACAGCTTTAAAAATCTCATCCCCTTTCTTTATGTCCTCAAACCCAATAGGCAGCAGGAAATGGGATTTAAGTTCCTCAGAAACTAGGAATCTTCTGCTGAAGGTTCAATAAAGGGTTGCTGATGTAAGTAATAAGATCACAGAAAGTTTCCAGAATTTCTTCAAAAAAGTATCACTAATTTATTATTGCTAAGTAGCAATCAATCACAGCCTAACTTGCGGGATTTCCCATTGTTGTCAATAAATCCAAAGTATGAAGTATACAAATAAGATCCCCAATAATCAATCAGACGCAAGTAAATTTATATTATGTCAAAATTTTGGCACACCAGGTAAGCTAGAAAAATGGCGATCCTAGGCATTTTGTTCAGACATGCTATGCTAAATGAGCAAATAACTGGCGGCAGTCATTGATACCATCAGAATGCAGAATTGCTTCCCCTGGTTTTCCCAAGCAGGATGTCTTTCGCCTCGTTGATTTTGGAAGCAAGATAATGGCTCCCGCCTGCATCTGGATGATTTGCAACCATCACCTTCCTGTGCGCTTCTTTAACTTTTTCTGTTGGAGTGCTCTCCCTGACAATGCAATGAAGGTAAAATCTCAGCCACAAGCAAGAACAGGGGAGATGTATTTAGGAAGAGACTCTAGATCATCATCATGAATAATAGATCAAACACATATATGAAAACTTGGCAAGCATGATCTTCTATCTATTTTTAAAAAACTGGGAGTCGGATTTGCTCCCCCTATACCCAGGGGCACCCGCACCCACCCCAATGCCCGGACCCGAAAGACATCAAGAATTTTGATATTAAGCTCACTAGAAGGTTGAGACCTCTGAGCCAGTATGACCAAGAGGACCAAGCTCTTGCCAACTGAGCTGACTCTTCGGGCTAACATGATCTCCTATCTTCAAAGGGATTTTTTTTTTTTATTTACTTTTCAAACACAGCAAAGAAGATGAAAACAAAAGTATGAGGAAAATTGATGGAGCTATTCAGGGGTTGATCGTTTAAAGTAACAATTAGAACTTAGGATGGCATGGAACTGAGAACCGATTATCAACAAGTATCTTTTGTTCCATTAGGAGATGCAGTTAATACCTAACTCCTAGAATTAGAGCTGCTTCCCTCCTCGTCATTGTAGGCTGAAAACCACCTTCGTAGAACTTGCGCAGTCGAGCCGTTGGTGGCCTTGCCTTGAATGCCTGCCAAGCCTGAATGCCATATCTGCCTGCGTAAGCTGCAGCAGCAACAGCAAGTCCTGTAACCAATGGTGTAGCCTACAATGAATTTACACACAAAAAATAAATAAATAATTAGAGTCCGATTGCCAACAGTGCTGCGGCTGAAAAACTACTTCTGTAATACATGAAGTTTAAAATGATCCTAACGATAGATGAATGAATAGGAACGCTAGAATCTACTTCACAAGCTTCATGCAGCAGAGGCCCTAGTTTTGTTAGGGGGGAAACCCCATAAAATCAGAGTGATAACAACCAAATTCTAAATTTGCTTGCTACGGCACTTGAATCGATCGTTCACAATAATTCTAGACGAGCTAATATTTTTTTTTTGGACAAATATTTCAAATTTTCTCAGGAAACAAACAAACTCCGAATATGAACTGATTCATAATCAAAAACCTCGTCTGAAAATTCCACAATAGTCAAAAACCCCTAAGGGCATCAATATTTTCAAGTTCCAAACGGAAAATATCCAAGCATCCAACTCGAGATCGACAAAAGAAAAAATGAAAAGAAAATTCCATCTGCCGCATGGACACAGCATACAAGAAAACCATGAAACATCGAAGACTCACCATCAATGAAGCACGCTTAAGCTCGATGGAAGGACAACTATCATTCGTTGGCTATGGGTTTTTCCTTTTCTCCAAAGGGGTTCCACAAAATTGGCTTCTAGGGTTTTCTGGAAAGCAAATTTGGTTTGAACCGAGAAAGGACCCGTACGCGATATGTAATTGCGATTGACCCAATAAGCTAGAAATGAGTAATCCTATATATATATTTACAGTTATATTATATYGTAAATTATATTTTTTGGAAAACAATTAACTCTATTTCTTGGGCGACAAGTTGCAATTAAGCTAATTTCTCTTATTAAAAAAGAGGGGAAAATAAAAGAAGCTAATCTCAAATTTTACATTAAATTATAAATTTAACCTTAAATTTTAATAGTTGTAATTATTTAATTTGTTAAATTTTATTTGAAAAGTTCAAATAAATATATTCAGTGTCAGTAGAGTGGATATTCCTATTATTAATATTCACCCATGTAATTAATAAATAAAATATTTTATTGTGCAGAATGGAACTTATCATTTCAATTCTTTTAGGTTGAAAAAGAAATTTACTACTTTGAGTAGCAACGCCAGAAAGAATGTAAATATATATATTTTCTTTGTGATTGAAATTAAATGTTTGTTTTTATAATTGGATGATGTTTTTATAATTAGGTTTGAGAGTTTTTACTGTTTAATTTTATGGCTAGAATTAAGTGTTTTTATTAACAAAGAAAAACTAATAAATCATCTCAAATCTAACCCACAAAATATTCAAAATTATTTATTTATTATTATTATTTTTTTTTTACAACACGTAAGAGTGAGGATTCAAATCCTCCGACCTTCTAGTTTATGATATATGTCTTAACTTTTTTCTTTTTTAGATAATATGTTTTTTGTCTTAACTAGTTAACTTATGCTTCAAGTAGGCAAAATAAAATTATCAACTTAAGTTTAACTAAAAAGGTACTTATCTCCGATAAAAATTTGTGAGTTCGAATCTTTTCTCTCATAAAAGGCAAAATTCAGTTAATTTAATTATAGAATCAATTTATAGTATTTTCCTCACACCTAAACATAGAACCCAAGATAAGAAAAACAAGTAAATATCCCTTCTTTTTTTTCTTTTAATCAAAGAAAAAGGAAAACACCTCACTTTCCTCACCAAAATTAGGACTGATCAAAGTAAATTCAGTGTGCAAATCTGTTGCTTATCCAAAGTGGTTCATGGGAAAAAGTGCAATTAACAGATTGATTTCAGTAATGAAGAAATGGATAAATAATAATAATACAATAGTTTGTGGAGAAAATAATCACAATGGAAGAAGAAAATAGCAGTGACCCACATGTCCTGCTCTGTCCTCTGGTTTTCTCAGTATCAAACTCAAGAATTTAACACATTGCCCACAACATATTTAAACACTTCTAAAATGAATAAATACCATTTCATGAAATCACTTCGAATCATAGGTTGTGTGTGGAAAAAAAAATTTAATTATAAGGTTAACAAATTTAACAAATCTTCTTCCAGCAGTTCCATGTTACTGCAAATTCCAACCATGTTTGGTAAACTTTTAGCCACCAACAACATTGCTGATGCTCTTTCCTGCATCGAGGTCGGCTTCAATCTTGGGCGGACCTGAATGACGTCTCGGCCTGGCCGGTGAAGGAGGGTAAGAGAGTCGTTTCTTTGCCATTGCTGAAGAAGAAGATCCTTTCTCTGGTGTTTCATTCTTCTCTGCCCCCAATGGACTCTGCAACCTGGATTTTGCTCTTGCTGATTCAGTAGGTGTCATGTAACTTCGGACAGCAGTAGCGGTAGTCACGCTTTCGTCATCCCTCACTGAAGATCCTCCTGTGCTATGCCTTCGTAATCTTTCAGACTGTACGCTGACGACACTTTTCGAGTCGTCATCGTGAATTGAGAGGATTCTTGGGCTTGGGGGCTTCAGTTTTTTTATTGCAGGAGATGGAGCTGGCTTGGAAGGAGTTGAGGAGGGCTGGAAAGCAGAGTGACTTGTCTTCTGGCTGCCTGTTGGGGAATCCATCTCCGAGTTCAACTGAAAGCGGGCGAATGATTTGCTGATTTCTCCAACAATGCCACGGCTTGCCATCTTCTTGCCAGAATGGCTGTTAATCGTCTCTTTTCCTGTCGGGTCAGGAGCATCGTGCACCCGAGCTCCGCTCCATCGCTCTGACCAGCTCCAACCCCAGGTGGGATTACTTGGATCCATGAATGCAGGGTTTACAGATCTTGCTGAATTCTTCCAAGTTTGCTGTTAAAAAGATTACAAGACTCAAACTCAATATTCTTTCGAATAAACAAAACCCGAGAAGAAGAATGAGAAGGAAGGAGGACAAAACTCTTAAATGCCAAAGAGTTTGGAAAGAAAATGATATCAGACGGTTAGAGAATTGATCTTTCCACAAACAACTCTTTGAAATCTTTTAATTTGGAAAAGAAAAGAATAGAACAGTTCAGCAATGAGAAAGAACAATTCAAATCACAAACCTTACACAAGCTAGATGGACGAAGAACAAAGAAGAGAATCGTCAATATAAACTTCAACGTCTAAATTAAATATTTTTGTTTGCCTTTTTTCTATGGTTCAGGATTTTGGAATATGTCACCTGATGAGTGAAGGCATATGCCAGGGCTCTCTCCCTTCTCATTGCAGCCTCATATTTGCTCAGTAGGCCAGCTTCAATCTGCTCTTTTGATTGTAAACTGTCATCCCATTCCTCTCCAATCTGCAATATAATTGTCAACAAAGGGCTAAAGTTAGCACCATAACGAAAACGCAACTGCGAGTCAGAGGAGAATAAGAAACATTGAAGTTACATATATAGAATTTAGAGATATTGTCCTCAGAGATATGGAGAGAACAAACTCTCATTTTAGGATTAGTTGTTGTGAGAATAAAAACAAAAATAGAAGAATGGTAATGAAAGAGACCCGCAAGCTCTCAAGCTCTTTGGCATGCTTTTGAAGGAGTTGTTTCTGGAGGGCCTGATTCTCCTCCAACATCCTGACCCTCCTAAAATGGATCTGAGATTGAACCCGAGCAAGAGTCTGCATGCAACGAAGGGTATTTGAGGCTTGGCGTTTCACTGTAGAACTCTCCATCAGTGATTTTAGCCTCACCAACCCTCGTAGAGCCCGTAACGCCCTTCTTGCCTGAAGTAAAACAAAACTATTAGACATTTGGGGTCTGGAATTTTTTACAGCCATTCCTCACACACAATATTGGAGAGATTTAAAGAAGGCAAGACTATTTTAAGGAACTCTTACCAAGTATCCACGGAACACGGTTTGGATCTTGATTGCAGCCACTTCCTCCTTAGGTGGGCCGAAATATTGAATTTCCGTAGCATGATGCACGACTTCGGTAGCAGCAAAAGGAGTAGCAGCACTTGGCTCAATAGTAGAACCACTTGCCTCATTGGCAAAAACACTAGCCTGAGTTGCTGCAGAAGTCACTTCTGTTGTAGCAGCAACTTCAATGGAGCTAGGCTCATCGTTATCTTCGCTCTCCGAATGGTTTATATTCGCCTGTTCCGGCTGTGGAGGTGACGGCAATGCCACCGCCTCTAAAGAGGCTGAATCTGGATTGGGATGCTTTTGCTTTCCAAACCATTTCTTCTTTGACTTCTTAGAGTTCTACAAACAAAGACAGTTGCCAAATATCAGAAACTCAGGAGCATTCTTTATTTCTTGTAAGAACTCATAAATATACTTAGAGACATTACAAATTTCTAATCGAATCTCAATTTGGATGAAGCAACCCCTTGATGAGGAAATTTTCGATACCTGAACTTTCTTCTCTTTGGGATCTGGACTGAGAGCTTTCTTTACAGAAGTAAACCAAGTTTCTTTCTTTCCCATCTCCTTATCATTCCTCTGCCTCACCCCCTAAGAACATAAACAAAATATATCAGTTTCAAACCGAAATATCGAAAAAGACAGCACACTCACCAATCTACAATACTAATGAAAAAATTTCCACAATATGCACGTATCAAATGGTTAAAGTTATTTGGCATACAATACAAGACTCCAGTCAACTGATTAAGCCTGGTGGAGTAGGTTAAGTCAGAAATGAAGCAACCCAAGTCTTCAGATCTTTCCTACTCTCCCCCCACTTTCAGCAGGAAACTCCACAACACAGGGAAAATCTAATTCATCAAGAATAATCAACACCCAACAAAAACATTGCAAAATCTCAGGTCGTGAAATTGCTCGATATGAAAAACAATCACAATCCCATCACAAAATATCAAACTAACAGACGATTACTGAACAGAAAAGACTCCAAACATGAAGGAAACGAGATAACAGAAGAAGACCCAAGTGAAATTTCAAACCAAACCATAACCCCATTACAAAAGATCAAACTAACAGATGATTACTGAACAAAAAAACTCAAAACATGAAGGAAACAAGATAACAGAAGAAGACCCAAGTGAAATTTCAAACAAAACCATAACCCCATTACAAAAACAGAACCAGCAGAGACCTACTACCGCCTACGAGAAAATGGAAAAGAGAGAATAACCTGGAATGGAAGAGAAGTTTCAGATCTGAAGGAGCTTCTATTGCTTTAGTGTTCAAAGCAGTGGTCCCATTTTCAGTGATTTTCTCACTCAGAAAAGAAAAGGGAGGGGAGAGGGACTGGAGTTGCAGAACAAATTGCCCCTGATTCGAGTCCGGCTGAGAGTTTGTCTGTCTCCGTCTGGCTTTTCTAAAGGAGAAGGGAAGGAAAATCAGATCTTGCCAAGAAACGCTCAATGATAGAGAGGGGAATATGAAGGGAAAAATTAGCTGGGGTTGTGGTAATGAGACGACCCCACTTCCTGGCTTTGGGTAAAACCCAGCAAAAATGGGAGGGTCCCACTTAGTTTAACAACCACGACCACAGAGCTGGCTTACTGAAAAGAGGGGAAAATTTCAGAATCTCCATGTTTCTCTTCTTCGCCACTCCCTCCATTTACCAACTCTAACGGCTCACGTAAGAAACATATCGTTTTCTAAATAACTTTTTTTTTTTTAAATAAGAGATTAGCACTTTTTTAAGTCTCCATTTTTTTTTAGTAAAGTAGATATTGGCTACTTTTTAATCAATATAGATATCTTAATAAGTTAGTTGTCATGTCTGCGTTTATTTTTTTTATAAAAGAAACATATCATTATCATTAAAGACTACATCAGAAAAGTGGTGACAACTTTTTAACTTAATTAATTAGTTTGGTACCTCTACCATGGTTAATGCTATATTTTTAACTTAGTTTAGACAAATTTTATAATGTTGTTTGGTGTATTGTATTGATATGAACATGTAGTCAAATTGGAGTCGGAGTATTATTGAATAAGTGAATATTATGTGGCAAAATAATAGGATAAAGAGAAAAATGGTTGTGTTTATTATGTTACCGACTATAATAGATATTTTGAAAGTCTTTGAACTACCATGGTTATGGATTTTTTTTTTTTAAGAAAATCAAAATCTAAAATAGATGTTCTAAAAGTTAGTACTAAAATAAAATGAAAAATATATTTCAAGAGATTTCATTTTTCTTACTTCAACAATTGTAGGTGTTAGATGGAGTCATTGGCTTTTGAGATATCAATAAAAAATGAAGAAAATTTGAACTTATAATTCATAAAATGAGATATTAATACTTTATCACTTAAGGAAAAATATTATTATTATTATTATTATTATTATTATTTTGTAATTCATCAGTGGAGTATGTTTCAATGAGTTATGAAATCTTTGATTGTATATTGTTTTAGAGTATTTTTTAAGATGTGTTTGAAAAATTTTAATTAGTGTTTCAATGTGTTATTAAATATTTTAATAATTTAAAAAGCTTTTTAATTAGTCATAAAGAACTTTTATGACATTGAATAACGGTTTGAAAGGGGCTTATAAACTTGGAAAGTGGAAAATTATGGATAAATCTGAAACAAAGCAACGTGATTTAATTTTTAAGAAACAATATTATTACAATATAGATCTTTAAAAAAGGAAGGCTATTAATGTAATTTACCACTCTATTGTCATTTCAAATATCAAGCATTTAGTAAGAGCTTATCCACTTAAGACTTTGTTTCCTTTCATAATTATTGACATTAATAATTCATTTTAAAGTATTGTGGTGGACCCACTGGATGATGATTTTATTTTCCATTTTATGTTCTATAAAAATTAAGATAGTTTTCTATCATTTTTATTTTACATTTTTCGAACTCTTGACATATTTCTAGTTAGTATTCTTTGACCATTGTAATATTTTTATCATCATGATTCATATATTTTCCTTTTAGTCATTTAGTCTATGCATTTAAAAATGCAATTATATTTTTTGTATGAAAAAATGTAATGATATAAGTTAGAGGCATCAAAATTATATTATTGTCCTGGCAATAAATATCAAAGTTCATAACTATTTAATAAAAAAAGCATGTTTATTAGATCAAAATTAAAAGTAACCAATAATTTTAGTTTATCATGTAGGTAAACACACTATCGCTAACATAATAACCTCTTTTTGCAATGATGATATGACTAGAAAATGAATGGTTCTAATACCATCTACCAACATCACTGAAAATATTATTAAAATACTTTTACCATAAGGTTTTATTGAAAACATAAGGTAACATGGGAAGCAACAAAGATTTTTTGGTTTTTAACCCTATAACATAGAAGAATTAAAAAAGAACCATATAAAATTATTTTAAATTTAAAATAGATTAGTCAACCTGATCTACGAATCTATTCTAACTATGAGTGGATTCCTAGAATTTTATGCGAAATGGGCATTGTAATTCTTTCTACTTCTCGGGGAGTATAATGACAGATCGAGAAGCTCAACCATAGGGAATGTGTGATAAATTTTATGTTATATATGGTAATCTTTATGATATTTGAATTATTTTTTTTTTAAAAGTTGGGTGTCTAATATCAATTCTCTTTCATTAATTGATAAGTTGGAAGGTACTGAGAAGAAAGAATAAAATAAGGTTAATTGATAATTTATAAACTACGAATCTTATAGACTACGAAACAAATATTCGAGTGATCAGGTTAAGCAGTATTTTCACATGCAATATTCTTCTTCTTCTWCTTTTTTTTTGTAAAGATACAATTCGAAATAGAAAATTTCAAGAATTAAGGTAAGGAACGACAAATATGAAAATAAGCTAAGGGTCATCCATAATTCGGAAAAACTGTGAAAATGTCGACTAATCTGTAGGCGGAGACAAATTATGGTAATTTGTTCCAATCCGAGACATAAACAAAGACAAGGATAATCTTTATAAAAAAAAGGACCCCTAAGGGCCACCCACGATATACACATAAAAATAAATAAAGGATCCGTCTTGACATGTGACATGGATAGATCAATATATCTCTTGGTTAAATTTATGACATGATAAAATATGACAAAACCCATATCAATAATGGATTCATGTAGAAAGAGACATATTAGCTCGCGTAAAAATACACGTGGAATAATCAATGACGTTATTCATATTCAAACAAGTTTCAACGATACAATTATGACTATTACATGTGTACGAAGTCGGATAATTTCTTGATCTTCTATCGGTATTCGTGGATTCAAAGTTAGGAGAAAGAAAAACACCATTTGGCGCTCAAACCACAGGGGAGTATGATATTTGAATTTCAACCATAATTTCTCTAATTCTTTACTTTGACAGGGTGTAAAAAGGAGAAAAGGGGAAGGTGAAAAGACGAAGAAGCCCATGAGAAAAGGAAAAAGAGAGGAAAAATAAATGTGGGAATAAGTTTAAGAGCTGGCAATTCCCAATTGGAAACCAATCGCCTGGCCGCCTCGTGACCGTTAATTATTGCGGCACCGTTCCACGCGCTTTTCCAACATGCCGCCAACTTAATTTTCTATTTTTATGTTTTTTTTCTTTCTTCATTTCAGCATCAAAATAATAATAATAATAATAATAAAATAAAATAACGATTAAATAAATTTTCCGGGAGTACTATAGATTAATTTTTATTTTAAACTTTTCATTTCATATCAAGTTTAAATTTTTATAAGTGTGATAGTATTTACTTTTCAATAGATATTTATTTTTTACGAACATGAATCTAGTTCAACGATGATTGACATCTGCTTCTAGCTAAAAAGTCATGAGGAACTCTCAACCTAATTTACTGTACCAAAAAAGGTTTTTATTTAAAAGATTATTATATACATTTAATGAATTATAAAAGATGACGAGACTTCATATTTGAGTTGAAAATTTATGAGTTTTGAAAGATTTTGTTTAATAATTAATACAGAATTAACTGAGCTTAATTTTGTGAAAATTCGTACACCATGCCAACTTCAAGGTAAATATAGATTGTTTTCCAAAAAGGGGAAAAAAGAAGAAGAAATTATTCTTATTCCCATAGTTTACTAAAGTTCTTTTTTAACTTTTTTTTTTTATTTTTAATATCACACTATATTGAATGCTTGATAAAGTTAGGCCGTGTATTATTTTTCAAAAAAGATATAATACATATATATATATATATATATATATATATATATATAGACACAAGAGGGGAGTTAAATATATTTATGAAAACACAAATATAGGAAATGGTTATTAACTTTTGTCTCTCTTAATTCTGTAGAAAAAACTATTATCATACTCATACAAGATCTCATGTAAAAAGACTTTTATTAAGACTAACTAAAATAGAAATGAAACAAGCTTTTAAAAAAAGAAAGAGAAATGGAAGTAGACAAGGACGATCTTTTATTTTCTTTTAACTAACTTTGATGTATGAATTTATTTTCCATTTATATAATATTATAACACATGGGATAAATAATGAGAATATGAACCACGCAAGTTGGAAGTTAGAAAATGGACCATTATGCAACAAATTAGGACTCATGTCTCGTGAGTTTTGAGTGTGAGCTACCTCAAATTACTATATAGCAAACTCTTCCTCTACTCAAATGAACAAGTGTCTGTCCTCTCTCCAGAGAAAAATAATAGAGGGAGAAACAAGTGACGATTGCCATTAATGCAACTTTCGAAGATGTGTACAAAAATGTCTTTGTCGATTTCTATCAATATGGTTCAGCCTCTCAGTGGAATGGCTATGAAGACTTTGTCAAATGAATAGGGATAAATTTCTTAATATTTTGATTGAGAAAGAGAAATTATAATGAATGATTTTTTCGTTTGTTATGTGTTCATATGTAGTTCAATGGTTAAGACATCTCTATTTTATTTAAAAGGTCGTAGATTTGAATACAAACCCTATCTATAATGTAATATTATAAAAAGAAAGAAAAAAAACTACATCACAAACCAGGATATAATATAGAAGATATTTCATGAATAAAAAACGAAAATAATATTTAAGCAAAAATTAGAAAAACAGGGAAATATAACCCAAAAAAAAAGGCAAGGTACCTATAAAAATAGCATAAGTGCACACAAAACCAATTAGTAATACAAAAATTCCTTACCCCTAATGACTTGTAATAGTCAACTAATGATAGTTTGAGATGTATATATATTAAAATATATAGGTACATAGAAGTGGAGATTTAAATACAGTAAAAATATTTAACCAATTAAATTTGATCGATAGGATCATAATTAACATAGAGGTAAGTTTTTTTTTACAACATGTGGAGGTGGAAGATAGACTTACCAACCTCTTGGTTTGAGACATATATCAATAAAAATTGAGTTATACTCGCTTTTGCTTTTTATAATAAACTTTTTGAAATAATTTAATAATACTATATTATGATAGGTAGAAT